TTTTTTTTTTTTTTTTTTTTTTTTTTTTTTTTTTAAATCTGTCCCCTCTCTGTGTCGGCGGCAGGCGTGTTCATGCCAGCGGGCCTGGTGCTCCAGCCCTGGATGGGCTCTGCCGCCATGGCCGCCTCCTCCGTATCGGTGGTCCTGTCCTCTCTGCTGCTGAGGATGTGAGCCCACAAACATTTGCTCCTATTGCATTTCACTCAGGATGGTTATACGCCAAGAATAATGAGAGGAAATCGTTCCTGAAGGGTTGTCTTTGTGTCAGCAAATCTGTTTAAGACCTGTTTCAATTTGCAACCGATTACTGGAGAGGTGCACTCAACTCTTACTCCTTCTGATTCCAATTAACACATCATCAGTTCCGGTTAAGAATTTTTAAAATAGATTAAATCCCCAAAAAGTCAAAGTCCCAAGCGTCAATTGTGGCTTCTTGAAAAAAAAAAAAGTTTCTCCATTTAAATTTTATACCCAGGCACTTTTTATGGTGTGTCCTGCAGGTACAAGAAGACCTCAGCGGAGTTCTATGAGTCCCGTGCCAGGGGCCAAATGAGGAGCCTGCGCTCGTCTCAGATCAGCACACATCTGGGTCTGGAGGGCCGGCGGCAAAGTCCAGCTGTCAGGGGCCCAGCTCGAGAAGAGCCGGGCCAGAACTCCACAACCTCTACGGGCCTCTCGAGCCAGCGGGCCTCCATCAGGACCCCCCCGGAGCAGGACCGCTACTCCTTCCTGGAGCGGCAGAAAGCGGCGGACCTTAATGTCTTGTAAAGGGATCAAATTCAGTGATTTTGTTTGTTTTTTACATATGTATAAGAAAAGAATTTGTGTATTTATATTAAATGTCTAATTCTTTTTATTTCAAAATTTCGGTAAAAAACTGACAGCATTTGTAGATTTTAAGAACCCAACTTTTAATCAGCCACCTCCCTTCACTTAAGTCTTTCTTAAGTGAAGTCTTTTTATTTTATTTTTTAAGGCACTGCTTTACAAATGCCCCATTTTTAAACAACTCAAAGTAAAGCTTCTCTGCACCTTTCAGGTGGGATAAGGCTGTCAGTGACTTTGCTGATGTGCGAGGTTATAAATAATGTATTTGTTGACAAAGAAAAATCACTTTCATTGTAAATGAAAAATATAGATATATATTTATATCTATATGAATATATATATATATCCCTCTCCCGTCCATTTCATCTCTTTCTGCACATCCGAGATGAACAGCACGGTCTCTGAAAAGAAAAGAAAACATCTTTTCATGTTGCTTAAAGGATCACCTGCTTCATGTTAAAAATAGAAGTGGAAAAAGCGGGAGAGCAAGGACAGAATCTCAAGCCATGCCAGGGATGATTAATGGAACACATTAATTAAGTGGCCTCACACATGGATTCTAAAGTTGTTCATGAAGAATGAGCAGACAAACGGGCTTTAGGGTTATAAAAATGACCACCAGACCTTACAATAGACTTTCTTTCTTCTATTTTTCTTTCCTTTTTTTTACATTAACAAGTTATCGCAGGAAAAGAGGGACGCTTTAAGCAAAGCCTTTAATCTTTTTAATCAGACCCGCTAAGACGAGTCAAAGGTGTATCGATCATGCGCCTGTTCCTCTGAGCTTGGGCTTCAGAAATGTGGATCATGTTTTTAGAAAAAATGACAAGAAAGTGTGTGCTTTCAAATGTATTGCTGCTTTGTTTGTTTCTTTTTTCATCTGTTCATAAGGTTTGAGAAAATTGCTAAAAGTTTATTTTAGCATGTGTACAGAAACCTTTGAATCAGTGCTGTCAATAAGCTCTTTTTTTCTTCATACCTGTTCCACATGTATATATATATTTTTTAATCCAAAGAAGACACCAGACTGCCTGTATCGACTCCTATCGTCTGACAGACCTATTTGGTGCCGTCTGCCAGTTTGGATGAGAAGCATCGCCGCATCAGCTTTTCCCGGTTTGAATCATGGCTGGGAGGTTTGCATGTTCTCCCCACGCTCGTGAGTGCTCCTTTCCCACATTCTTCCTCTTACTGTCTTAAAATCGATACGTCGGGACACATGATTACTTAAAAGTGTTTTAAATGTGCTTTTACATGTCTAAGCACCATGTGCTACTTTCTGTATGAAAGGTGCTTCATGAATAAAAAAACTGAATTAAATTGTAAGTGATTGCAAGACGTTGAGTTGGATAAACTAAAATCAGGTTGGTCAGCAACGTTGTCTATCACACCCAATGTGATGTCATAAAGTCCATGAAAAAGACATGGACTCCGACTAAGCTGTTAAACTCAGTCAAGGCGGTGGTTTCCTTTGAGAAAGCAGTCCTTAAGGAGGGTGAAATTTTGGATCATAGCTCATCTCAAATAGACGCCAATATAAAGAAGCAGATATCATGCTGGGAATAAATAACCTACTTGAAGATTTAAGAATGCAGCTGACAGTGTTGTAATGTGAAGGAAATAATCAGTCACCTCAAGCAAAATAGACAATTTTGTATTTTTAAAAGCAGAATTTCGGCAGAGATATACCAACTTTTTTATTTTGTTATGAATTTGACCTTTTCCCTGCTGTGTTTCTTGCCCACTGAAGGCTATATATACAGTAAAGGTTCACTGTGTCATTAATCAGCTGCCCAGAGGAGGGCCATTTTCCTGACTTACAGTTTTAATATACAGCAGGCATAAACCCGGAGGAGCTGTTATGTCATCTCGTTTAAACATCGGCAAACAGGACACACATCAGGAAGCCGGAAAATCCTGTAACGAATCCATTCCTTCCAAGACAGTCCTGTGAACGGGGAGCGACGGAAAAAAAGATGTTTCGAGCAGAGAGCTCCAGAAGTTTTCCATCTTCGAGGGCAGGTGATGTATTGGTCCTCAACCGCTTGTTTTCCGACCCACACCCACGCCTTGTTGTGTGCTCTTTCCTCCAAGCCCCACAGGCAGGAGCAGTTCATTACTCTGGAATGTCATAGTTTACTTGGATATGATGATTTCTTACTCGTGCTGGGCTGTACTTGCACTGGAGAAAGTGGAGAAAATGTATTAAGAGTTCCTCATCATGAAATCAAAAACTATTTAATTAAAAAAAGATTTATATGTGTTTAATAATTCAACAGAAAGGTCATTTAAGAATATTCCACACATGAGTAGTTTGTGTCTTATGTTGATGTCTTGCGGACGCTTTTTGATTCAATTCAGATATTTTTCTCCCATCGTGTTGTTGTGTAGCCCTAACCTTACAGAGGCACACACTTTCTCTCACACACACACACACACACACACACAAATGTCAGAACTAATTCTTTATCTGGCTCCGCTTCCACTTTCATTCCCCTCACGCAAACACATTTCCATTGCTTAAGATCTCCTGCGAAGTCATGCAGTGCTGAAAGTCCCCCTCGGTGTGTTTTCAGCCGCCAACCCCCGGGTGACACAGGGAGGCTTTCATTTCTCCCCCAAATGCTGTTTTTTCCCCTCAGCTTTTTTTTTACAGTGAAGTTCATATCTAATTTTTTTTTTTGCATCAGTCATTGTGTTATTTGCAGATGGAAATGACTCAAATGCGCTTGGCTGAGGCATTTTGACATGGGAATGTGTTTGTATACAAACCAACAGATAACAGTTTATTTTCTAAGGAAGCATCCTTAGCTCAAAAACAGCTCAAGGTTGCGTGGGGGGGGTTATATAGAAACATGGGACGTCTTGCAATGTCATGAAATGCTTACGCTAATGAGCCACTCATTCAGAGAAAAAACTGACCCCAGCTCCATGCGGCCAATTAATAATATTCACTTTGTGGCAATGTCCAGCCCTGTGGACTTGGAAGTCGTACGGGCTGTAATTGCCATTGTGGAGCAGGTCAAGGTGTTACTGTAAGTCAGCATTATATCCACGGATATAAGACAAAGTGTGCGACTTGCAATGAGCAGAAAGGAAGATGAAATAGTCCAGCGAAACTCCGATTGCAAAAATAGATGAATGAAGCCATTAAAAGGGCTGTATAGATGGCTTTTGTCATGAGATACTAAGTGAGCAGCCCTCGAAATGCACTCCACAATGGCTCATTAGATTTATGGACTTCAGCTGGGAGTGGAATGAAACTATTTAAGGATTGCGGGACATGTATTAATATTCTGCGTCATACAGATCTCTACAGCCAGAGATCTATGGCTTCCATGTTCAGCGCTCCGAAATACTGAGGATTAAATAACTGTGAGGCGTGGCTGTGAATGAGCTGTAAGTGTTGTGTGAGTAGATGAGTTGTGAGTCAACAATGACAAGAAAAAAACTGTTTTTCTTTTCCATCATACAAAAAAGTCTAAATAATTGACTGTTTTTTGTTGTGTTTTTTCACTTTTCTTTTGACGTACTGAATTAACACAGTAGACCTAAAATATCTAACAACTGGTTGTGCAGTAAAGAAAATGCAAATAGTCCCTCATTGAATTTACAATCACTTTTAACTTTTTTTTATTAGTTAGACTGCAAATAGAAATAGTACATTTCAAAATGTATGTACAAATGTATTAAAGTCATGTACAACTATTGTCATGAAAACGCCGGCAAATCAAACAGGACTCATAAAAAGATGGCACACTCCATAATACACAACAAAAACACTGAAAATAGCTATCACTGTTTAACTTTTTCCTGTGACCAACAACTTTTCCCCCTATTCCCAACCAGCCATATTCTTTTTGTTTGTGAGATAATTTTCTGATTTGTCCATGTGGTGGATTTTTGCTCTGCTGTCATGTTTTATTTCCTTCATTTTTTTGCTTGTACCTTCTGCTTATGAACAGTTAACTTAGAATAGCCTGTTTTTCCCTTTCATTCTGAGGACATTATTTTAAAAATGTAGAAAAATCTTGGCGTCTCGTTGTACTTAACTTCTGAACACAAAATTGGCACAGAGTCTGGAGCCTGCCCTTGTGACACAAACTGAAACAGAAACTTAACAGGCCGTCGGCCTGCCGCATCAGCTCTGATCGATCTGGTGATCTGACTCAAAGTCATGTCCATCAAATCTAACTAAGTCATTCAAGAATGGAAATTGTAAAGGGAGTGTTTTGAAGTCCAGCTTTTTTTGCCTGAGGACAACTTAAAATCCAACAAAAGATTATTCAGTCCAGGTTTTTCAAAGCTAACGTCCTACTATTCATGAACTACTACCCCTTATCTACTTCCATTTGCTTTCTCTCAATGGTTGTTTATGTATAAAGATGTCCTACAACCATCTCAAAACCTCTGTTTGAACAGCATTTGATATAATGGGAGCAGAAGCAAAAAAACTCAAAAAATGACTTTTTTAAATTGCCAACCACTGAGTATACAGAATATACAGTGAGCTACTTATTTTTCCAAATATGTAGTCTATGTATGCACCTGGTATGACGTAGGTTTGAGAAGAAAAGAATTGTGGACTTACTGTTTTGATATTTGACCACATTTTTTCAACGGTTTCAGCTCAAATTGCAACACGATTGGAGAGTGGAGTTACTGTGGTTCTGCTTACAGCTTCCCGATTTAAAACAACAAGCTGTTGAAATCCAATGTACTCTTGGATTGTGTACTCTCCAGTTTGTGGTTTTTATGATGGTACTAGGATTAGAAGTACGTCCTAAAAGTTGGATAGATCCAAGTTTTACTCTTAAAGTCCTGGGCATACATATTTTTTGTGCTGGCTTTTAAGGGGGTAAAACCTGAGCCGGATTCTGCCCACAGTTCAGAGTCGATAAGGTTGTTTAAACTGGTGACTTTAAATAGGCTGTGTTAGCTGCCAAGTAGGGTTATCTGTCCTTTTCTGTTGCATTTGTGATGGACTAGCAATCTGTCCTTCTACCCCCGCCCCCTTCTCACAATGACGGCTGAGATAGATTCCAACTTCCTTTGACCCTCCGAAGGATTTATCTTCAGCTAATGGAAGGATGTCATCTCGTCATACCATCCTCATCTGTGATGGTTCAATGGTAATTCCATTCTGTTTAAATAGGTTGGTATGTACATTATGCAGGATGGAAGTTAGGATGTCAACAGATTCCACTTTTCTCAGATTAACTGCGGGCAAACATGCCAAAAAACCTGCAGAAGGTTTCGCTCAACACGAACATACTGTTCATGGTTTGGGTCACCGTGCCGTCCTGCAGTAAAACTCCATGTCTAACAAGGACATCTTTTATAAAACATTATGTGCAAGCTATTAAAAGCCAATAAGATCATTTTGAGTGGGGAAAAAAAAAATCCAGAGCCATAAATCAAGTTCCTCCCTTCTGAAGCACAATATTAAGTGCACAAGTGTGAAATTTAATTTCAGCCTTTTACCTTTATAATAAGGTGTTAGTTTTACTGCTCACCGGTCTCCTCTACCAAGGTTTGTCTTTTACGGATGATTAAATATGCAAACCTTTCGCAGTAGCTCGGCAGGGATTAACACATACAGAAATAAATCAAAATATTCCCTTTACTCTACTACTTGACTCTTCCTCGGGTTGCCTTTTAATGACATTCCACTTTTTTTTCTGTAACTGACAGTATTTGCTTCATTACGATGATGGGATTGTTAGCCTCCCACTCGTGCCTCTGTGCCTCTTTCAGCATGTGTCTCTCTGCACAAATTCCAGCTTAAAGGCGTTCCTTCTATGCCTTTTTCGTTGGTTCGCTTTCATTTGTATTCAGTGGTGAGTCTGATCCACATTCATTGCTGTATGTTCACTCTTTCTCAGGCACTAGAACACGCTGCTCGCCGTGTCATAGTCCTTGCTGATGTGGGAGGTGCTCGGCAGGGACTTGAGGTACTCCATGTGCCTCCTGGCGTCCTCTTGGTTGTGTTTGATGTAATAGACGATGTAGGCCGTCACCATGAAGAACCAGCAGAACATGGCCACAAACATGGCCACGTCTGTCGTTTTGTGGTGGAAGTTGCAGAAGTTGATCCCCGAGTCCAAGACATGGATCACCGGCTGCCCCACGTACTCCTCCCGCACAGATGTGTAGCAGTTGACCTCGTTGACCGTCTCGGGGTCCAGCCGGAGCTTGCGCAGCACCTCCTGCAGGGAGCACTCGCAGTGCCAGGGATTGTGGGAGAGGCGCACGCGAGCGTGCAGCTTGCCGAAGGTATCCCTCGGGAGGCTGCTGAGGTGATTGTTTGAGAGATCGACGGCCTGCAGGCTGTCCGAGGCTCCCTGGAAGGCGTCCGCCTCCACGCTCTCCAGGGCGTTGTGGGACAAGTCCAGCTCCCTGAGGCGGTGGAGGTCGGCGAAGGCCTCCTGGGGGACGTGTCTGATGCGGTTCGACGAGAGCAAGAGGACCACGGTATCCCTGGGCAAGTTTGGCGGGATGCCCTCCAGGTTGCGCGAGGTGCACTGCACCACCATGCCGTTCCTCTCCGTGCAGTGGCAGATCTTTGGGCAGGAGCGGGCAGGGGCGAAGGACAGGAGCAGCAGCGTTCCGACCAAGCAAAGGGAACCCTGGAGGGGCGCTTTAATGAATGACCTACACGGTTCAGGAGGCCCCATTAGCTTTGGAACAAGGACCGCCGACGGGGTTCTGTTGGTGAGACATGAAACCTCCTCATTTGAGAATTAAGGGGTGTGGCAGACAGAAAAACGTGGCGTCGTGACGATCAAGTTTTATCTTGCATCTGAGCTCCGTCTTCCAGATGACTGCATTTTCACAAAAGTTGCGAAAAGTTCTGGTTCCTCGTCCACCTGGAGAGCCCCGGTAAAACGTTCAAACGTTTGCATCGCTAAATGATGTGTCAAGAAGTGACTCGGCTGAGGCGACCCCCCGAGGAGAGAAAGGAAAATGTTATGACAGGCCGAGTCATAGCTGCGAATCTGAGGTTGGAGGGCACATCTCCTCAGTTGTCGAAAAGCGATCTGCAAAATGGAGAGAGGGAGATTTTCAGAGTTTTGCTGCAAATGTTCTGCTCCAATAATCTCAACTCTTTAAACCTAAACCCCCGCGATATTTTCCTGTTCTAGGGAACGCTCCACCTCACAGGGCAAGGCTGGTATTGTTCAAGATTATCAAGGTAATAATGGCTTGTTTCTTTAGCGTGACTTCCTCAACTCCAAACGTGTCCCCCTGTGGGAAAATGACAAGCCATGAAACAAGGTGTGAGCTCCTCAACAATGCAGCCGGAGAGCGGTGATTAAAGGAAAAGCTGCGTGTACTTTAAAAGATTGAGAGTGACATGTGAGCGCAGCCAAGGTCAGAATGCAAATTAAAAGCCACCACAGGACACGGCACATTTCGGCGTGCGATAAGAAGGAGCTACCGATAAGCAGGAAACAGCTATTCGACGGAGATGATGGACATCAAACAAGCTGATTTCTCTGTTAGAATGACATTAATAATGATGATGATAAGCTAAATGTCAGACAAAGACTGAGGTTTGCCAGAGAGAATTTAGTGGAAATAAAACAGAAATAAATTGGATGTCAAAATAGCAAACGTAGGCTACTTTTAACTGGGATCAGCAGTCAAAAGTAAAAATAAAAAACAACGGGTAATATTTCAAAGTGAAGTTATTATTTTTAAGGCTTGGAAAATAAAAAGCTATTAATATATTTTTTTTAAATGTCCTCTTTCCTGACTAGACGTGTGATTGAAAATCCAATTCAAAAAGGTCTCTCATGAAAACCCAAATCTTTGAAAATTACTGGTAATTCAGTCATCACTGGGGAAAAAAATCTCATCGACATTGAAGTGTCCTAAATGTAATTTTTGAAAGGAAAAAAAACACTGAAGACACTGAAGAGCAGTTTAGTTTTACTAAAACTAAAGTGAACAAATCTTTTGAAACTAATCCTCATGCTTCTCCTTCATCTCTTTTGAAATGCAGTTGCGCGCTCCATGCTGGAAACAAAAGGGGTGGGGAGATGGAGTGTGTGTGTGTGTGTTGGGGGGGGGGGATAAGTGAGTTTATTCAGTTATTTTAAGTCATCACGAACCTATAAGCTCCCCTCCGATCCGGTTTGGGTCAGTCGGCAGTCTGCAGAAGGCTTTTTTTCCTCCGGTGGACGCAGCGTCCAGGTGCCCGGGATCCGGCTTTTTATTCTCCGGTGGCGCTCCGCTGCAGGAGCTGCAGTCTCTCCAGGAGTCGGAATCCAGCTGTTTAAACCGCGACCCACTCTGGGCTTTTGCAGCTTTGCAGCAGCGCGACGTGCGCGCACGAGCCGTGCGCACGCTCCGCGTTCTCCCGTTAGTGCGTTTCTAAAGTTTTATTCGTCGCACATACGATAGAACTGGAAGTAAAAATGCTTGATATTAGAAATAAAGGTTTAAAAATGTAAAAGGAAAAAAAAAAAGAGTAGATCTAATGTTGCAAAAATGCAACATTTCCTGAGGAAACTTCTCCAGGAAACAACTTGGGTTTTGTTTGGCTGTAACACAAAAAATGGTGAATACATACTGAATGCATCTGGATACAACTTGCATCTGGACCAAAACAATCTCCTCTTTTTAAAAGAACCGAATTGCATTGGATCATTCTATTTAATATGGCAACAGCCAATAAAGGAAGGGCTAACATATATTATGCTTTTAATGGCTTTGGGGTTTTCCCTTTTTTTTAAAATATATGTTGTTTAACCAAGTTACATCCAAAAATACACAAGACTCAACATTGAGGTGACCAGCAGGTGACCACATTGTTCAGCCTCCTTGATTAAGGAATAGAAATAACTGTTTGGCAGGCCTTGGTTTCTGTCCCACGTGGTTGATCCTTATTGATCCCAGTTGATTCCGGCCTAAAGTTTGAGGTTGTGTGCAAAAAATCCAATTCAGCTACACACGGTATGTGTGACCATCACAAGGTTACCTAGTGCAATACCATTTTCTGCCAGAAGGGGGCGAATAGTTTTACCTTCTTCCGGTCATTTGCATTACACGTGATCATTTGGCTTCCAAGATACTTCCGGTAAGGGTGCGAGTGCTGGGCGCGAGCGTTTGAATTCCAAATAGTTGCAAGGTCAGCAAATGTTTTCTAGTATTTCTAGTACTTTATCCTCTGTTTGTTAAATTAGAAGTCACTTAATTGAAGGAGTATTTATCCTCTTGTTCATTATATTCAAGATGTAGGTGGTTTCATGAATTTACTTGCCAATACACATGTTTGATGTGGATATGAGAAACAGAAGTTATCTGTTAAAATTATGGGTGTATTAAAATGTTTAATTAAAAGGTGATGTTTTAAATAATCAAGATGCATAAATAGATTTAAAAGGTAAAAACACATAGGTATATGGTTTAATGAATCGCAGGATTTATTTCTGTTTATTTCTATGCTGTGAGATGGAAACCTGACTGATTGATTGATTGTTTGTTCATTAAAAGTGACCAATCCATGGTGAGATGTGCATCTTATTAATTTCAATAATGAGTAGATTATCTATATATTTGATTTGACATTTGAATTGAGATGACTTGATTAGAGTTTTTCAGAAATGGAATAATAGTAACTAATGCATTCTGTACTGTATGTGTAGATTGGTTTTAGGAAAGAGACGGATTTCAACGGAACCTGACAAGCGGTCAGCGGTCAGCCAACTGCCAGATCCATACTGAACGGACCAGGGTGCCAGCCTCAGCATCCTTGGAGGTGGTCATCTTCCTACTCTTCCCTTTTGACACAGATAAGAACACGCACAATCCACCCGAGTAGTAAAATAACTGATTTTAACAAACGCCAAGACCTGTCACGTTTTCCCACAGAGGCAGCTTTATTTTGACTGAATGAAGTTTCACAAAGGGACACTTTTTGTCAGATTTATCATTTCTTTTGTGCCTTTTTATATGTGCTTGTAGGAAGCCGGCTTAGACGGACAGGGATTGTAAATAATTTTGTACAACATATTTTTTCCTAAACCTACCTGTTTTGTGTCTCATATGTTTCTCTGCTGACCTTTTATTTACTCCAGGCTCTGTAGTCGTACCTAGAGCTTTGATATTAGCCCAGCCTTAATTCAATTCTTGTCACTTAAACGAATCTGGTAACGGAGGGCTACATAAGCAACCTGAAATAATAATTTGTTGCTGTTTTATACAACTGTTGAAGTAAATCTGACACATTTTGTGCTTTGTGGCTGAAAAAGGGCCATATCTGACCCTTTTGTATTTGTCTGGCTGATGGCCTGAGTGCTTGACACTGCTTTGTTGTTGGTGCTTTATATCATCTGCACTATCGCCCCGATCCCCTGCACCCGCTGATGTATCAAATTTGAATTTCATGCTCACTTGCACTTTTGAATGACACCCGTCGCCTCCCTCTGTTCCGGGACACCGCTCCCAGCTTGCTGTGTCGGCACTTTTTTGGCTTTAATCAAAGTTCTTATTTCTGTCTGCAAAAGGTTTTATGCGCACGGACAAAAAAAAACACCAGAACTAGTTGTTTTTTTTCTCTCGAGGAGAGCAGAAAGTCAATTAAATGACATCTGATTTACCTTTTTTGGCCTAATCCTGGAACCCGCTGGCGTATCAGTCCATGACTTGATTGCTTGCCCCCGCCCATCCCGTACCGTCACTCTTCATAAACGTTGATTACGACTGTCCTGCCCACGCGCGGGACTTCAATACCGAACCTGTCACAGATTCCGTGACAAAAGACCTTCGGCGGTAGTCCCACGCGCCGCCTGAAGCCGGCCGGGGCTTCTCAAAGCGTCGGCGTGATTAAATGGCAGCTGCGTGCAGAGTTCAGCCCCGTCAATTTTCCTGAGAGCCCGAATCATTGATTGCACTGACGAAGGAGGTGTTCTTTTAGCGGGCCTCGACGCGTCGGTGCCCAAAAATGAGGGGCGAGGGGCGCCCTAACGGCTCCACGCCGTTTCTTGCTGCCGGGGCGATGGCGCCCAATGGATTAACGCCCCACCTTCACCGCGGTTGAAGCACTTTTTTCCCAGGGATTTGTTCAACATCCCGCCTAATCTTGTCGAGCTCCTGGCAAAGTTTCCAGCATGATACCCCCACCCACCCCCACCCCCCAGGAACAGCTCCCCGCCCCCTTCCTCCGGTACGACAAGGATATGGAGCCGAGCCAGTGGGGCCGAGGCTTCGTCAGCAAAGAAATATACGCGCTGAGTGATTCATGAGACGTGCTTGTCATGGGAGCGATGGATTGCGACGGGAGACGTTATTTCCTCGACACAAAGAGACCATTTTCGCCTCATTTGCGCTGCCCGCCTTGGTCTTTTTTTGTAAAGGCAGAAAGCTCCCCCCAACAGTGTCTACTGACCTCTCAGAAGCCCCGCTCCGATAACGCCTCGCTGCTGCGGCCCCTGACTGACATTGGGTTTTATTTACCCCCTCAGCTTTCCAATCTCGAGGGAGGACGCGCGATGTTTTAGCGCCCCGACCCTCCCCGATCGGAACCTCCGGGCGTCCGGGATGTTTAGTGACAGCCGCCTCCTGTGGACCGCTGCAGTGACTTCTGGATCTCAGTCCTTCTGCGTAATAGAAAAGGTTGCCTGTAAGCAGAGTGATACGATGGAGCCGCTCCAGCTTTTTGTGTGCCAAG